GGACAGGCGGGGAAGGACCGCGGGGGCAGCTAGACAGCAAGGCTGGGGTCCCCAGGGCCTGTCCCCAAGCCAGCCCCAACAGAGGCCCACCCCTCCAGGCACCCAGGAAAGGCGGCATGGCTCCCGAGCAGCAGGGCGACACCCGCCCAGCACGTGTGTCTGCTGCACTTGGAGGTGCAGCAGAAGGAGCCAGAATGGGCTCTGGGCCGACCTCCCCACCAGGCCCCACGATGGGCCGCCACATTCTGCAGAGGGCACGGCTGCCCCAGCCTAGACTCACCAAGAGGGCAGGACTGCCCACCAGGCAGGGGCCTGGCGGCCTGCCCGCTGTATGCTCCAGGTTCCTCATCCCCAGACGGGCAGGCATCCCCAGGTCAGGGGCTGGGGCTGAGAGGAGAGTTTCTGTCTGTCTATCCACCCTGAACACCAGAGCCACAAAGGGCCTCTGGGCAGGGCAGCACCGGGTGGAGCCCCGAGGTGTCTGGCCTTGCAGAGACAGGTGCCAGTGAGGGCCGGGGGCCAGAGGGGCGGGGTGGGGGCGGCTTGACCCTGGCAGGGGCTTGGGGCTGGGTGCTCAGATGGTGTCTGGTGCTCAGTGGGGCAGTCTTCCCAGGAAGGCCACCCCCTCCCCCTCATCAGCAGGCCGGGGGCCAGACAGTGAACACTCCACATTTTTTGGCAGCTCAAGGGCCTGGTTGGAACAGTCGCTGTTTTATTCTGCAGAAACCACACACTTTGCATCCCAGTGCCCCGCAGGGAGTAGGGGTGGATTCCAGTGGGGCCGTCCATGGGAGGGCCCTGCGGGGTGACGGGCCAGCTCCTACACACTGCTCTGGCCCCCACTCCAGGGGGGCCAGGAGGCTTCTCTCTCAGAGCAGTCAGGACAACCTGAGATCCAGGGCCCCGGGGGCAGGAGGGCTGGGCTCTGAGCAAACAGCCCCTTGGCTGCCAGGCCTTCCCCTAGGGGCTTCTGGGGATCCAGAGAAGAGACCCCAGCCCTGCCTCCCAGGGTCCCCGGCTGTTGAGGGCCCAGACCCAGGAAGACACCGCTACCTGAGGGAGGCGTGAGGAGGGCAGGCGGCCCCAGTCTGGAGGGAGCTCGGCCCTGGGGACGCGGGGAAGGGCAGAGAGGGCCCCCTTCCCCTGCACTGCGCATGAGGGCTCTGCCCGGGGGAAGCCCTGTATCATGCCTCACCTCGCAGTGAGGATGGATGTGTGAGTTCTCACAGTCAGCCCCTTCCCGGTAGGAGAGCCCTGGGGGTGGTGGGGTGGCACGGTGGGCTGAGAGCCAGATGGTCCTGGGGTCTTGCTTCAGCCCTCAGCCCCTGCTTCCCTGGCCGAAGGCCAGCTCCTCCTTTGTTCCTCCTCCGTGTTGGAGGCCCCGTGACTCCTTCTGGAGGGTCTGCTCTGAGCCAAGCCCTTACTTCACCACGTCCACCAGGACAGCTGGCCAGCCAAGAACGGGGAAGTGACCTGTAAGGCCCCATGGTGAGATGCCCAACGTCCCACCGCTAGGTGGTCCATGTGCCCACACCCCACCCTCAGCTGCCCCCAGCAAGGGGCCCAGAATGGTCTGCAGACGGACCTCTTTTCAAGTAGCCCCCCAAGCCTGGGAGGGCCTGGGGAGTTCACTCTGCTCCAGACCGCGGGCCCCACGGGTCACGGGTGACATCGAGCCCCAGAAACGCTGGCTCCTTCGCCTGGGCCGCCCTGCCCATCCTGGGCCCAGAGACTCACGTGCAGTTTGTACCCGACAGAACAGAACGGACCAAGCTGGTGAGGCCGGGCTGGGGTCGTGAGGCCGGCAGAGAGCACTAGAGGAGAGGCCAGGGCCACTTCTCTGGCCAGGCAGGGACCGAGGCCTGTCCCAGTTTTGAAGGTCACTCTCATTGAGGGATTCCAAGCAGTCCAGGAGGTGGGGGTGGGAAAAGACTGATGACACTTGTGCTTGGAGGGCAGGGGGCTGGGGGTGGGCGTGCTGGGAAGAGCAGGTGACGGAGCCTGGCCCGGCCCAGGGTGGAGGGTCGGCCCTGCCCCCGTGCCCACGGCAACCCCCAGCTGCCACTCAGCCCGACTAGGCGTCCCGGCTTTCTGCCCACCGCTGCCGACGACGCCACAGGAAGGGCTCCGTGCGGCACGAGCACGGCGGGCAGTCGGCTGAGGGGCTTTTCGAAGCTTCCCGGGTGGAGCCCAGCGAGGGCGCCCAGCAACTTCCCTCCAAGAAGCGTTCTGCCCCAGCCCACGCCAGGCTCTGCTTTGGGGCCCAGGGCTCACACTACCCAGCCCCGTACTTCGTAGCCACATCTTCACAGGGCCCGCCGATCCCTAGGGAACCTGTCCTGCCCACTGTCTGTCTAGTTCCCAGTGGAGTTCCATCGCACAACAGAAATGGGACAAGGGAGCTCAGCCCACCCAGCCCAGGGGGCCACCTCAACCCCCTCCGTGGTTGATGGGGGGCCCCTCTGGGGTCCTGGAACTCGGATGGGCGCCAGGCAGGCGCCAGAGCTCTGAGGCCTTCTGCCATCGCCTGGGAACGGGGAGCTGGCCTGAGACCCTCAGTTCTGTGGGACACGTGTCAGCCGTGCCCTCAGTAACGGAGGAGCGAGAACAGCTGGTGTACACAAGGGCCCAGCGACACCCACAACAGTGACAGGTCAGAGGTCAGGACCCCAGGTCCCCTTCAAGGAGCAGGTGGGCAGCGGCGGCGGGGAGGGCTGAGGCTTCCTCCTCTGACCTTGAGCAACTCGCTGTCCCTTGGGGCCCCTGCAGCAGCCTTCCTGGCCACACTTCACAGAGGGCGTTCCGGAGAGGACCACTTGGTTACTGGAAGCACGGGAGGCCCTCATCCCGGGCCTGGCCCGGCCTAGGCCCCAGCACCACGCAGGATGACCCTCCACGGGAGACCCAGGCCCAGCGACAGACCAGCCCCTCAACACGCCAGGCCTCACACAGCCTTTCCTGAAGGGCTCGGTGGCCCATCCTCCGCTCTTCTGCCCAGGGTCTCCCTGAGAGGCCCCAGGGCCCGCCAAGGGCACAGCTCCCTGTTTCAAAGCGGAAGCTCGCAGTCTCCACCCCCAGAACCGTCAGAGGACCCCAATCCGGGTAAAAGCCCCGCCACGCCCTCGAGTTCAGGTGCGAGACTAGGGGCAGGGCCAGGGTGGTCCGAGCCCGGTCAGCTCTCGCTCTCTGTGCCGCTGGGGTCCCAAGGCAGCTCCAGCCGGCCGGCCAGAGACAGAGCCCACGCGGAACCTGGCTGGCCACCCGGGAACAGCCGCCCTCCGGCAAGGTCGGCCTGCTGCTCAGGCTGGGATGCCACGCCTGGAATGAGACAGGGAGCTATGGTGGAGGCGCCTGGACGCCAAGGACCCAGACCACATGATCCCTGGAGGGGCCACTGGCCGGGGCCAGGACAGGTGTGACCAGGGGACTGCAGGCTCCAGCAGGGCCATGGGGGAGGTGCCACCCTTGCCCTGCACCCGAGGGCTTCATTCCCCTGCAGCGTGGGCCAGAAACACGAAAGAGGACAAGCCAGGGCCGGTGCAGCACGCCTCTGCACAGGAGGCAGGGCCCAGGTCCCGGCGCCTCCTCTGCGCTCGGCGTCTCAGCCCGTTCGCAGACACGTACGTCAGAGTCCCGATGGGCCTGGCTCATGGGCTCAGTACATGCCTCCGCTGTAAAGGGCCAGCTTCGGGGCACGCCAGGGGCACCCAGGGTTACCGTAGGGCCAGGAGGGCCCAGTAGGAGCGGGAATGCGGGAAAGCAGTGCAGCTGTGGCCTAGACAACCCAGCCAGACCGGCCCCCAGGACTGCAGCCCTCCCTGCCCGCTGCCTGGGCTCGGCTCCCCTCGGCCGGGCACCACTCCGGCACCAGCTCCATGCAGCCGTGCAGGGCCCCCCGCCACGTGGCGACCCAAACGGAAGGCAAGCCCACGGCGGTCAGCCCGCCCACCCGACCACCCTCCCTCGCCACTCCCCACCCGGGGCCCCGACGC